AGTCCTGCATCTGGGGAGAAGTAGCCCCATGCACCAGTATGCACTGGGGACTGCACACCTGGCAGGGAGATTTGCTGAGAAGTTCCTTGGGGTTCTGCTGGACAACAAGGTGAGCTTGAGCAAGCAATGCTGGCTCACTGCAAAAATGGCTAACAGCATCCTGGGCTGTATTTAAAAGACCATTGCCAGCGGGTCAAGGGATGTCATCCTTCCTCTCCCCTTAGTGCTGGTGAGGCTGCATGTGGAGATGTCCTGAGTCCAGTTCTGGGCTGCCCAGTACGAGCAAGTTGTGGACAGACTAGAGTGACCCCAGCACAGGCTCTGAGATCCTGCTCCAAAATGGTGTTGCAGTGTGCCCAAGAGGCAATTCCTGGCACTAGGATTTTGCTCCAGTGCCTCCCTGCAGCTTGCAGCCACCCCGCTGCCAGGGATGGATGCTGGCCAGGCCAGGGACAACAAAAGTGAGCTGCTGCTTCTCCCTGCAGAGCAAACAAGTGGGTGTCAGCTCCACGCTCACTTCTGCTCACAGCTCCTTGAGCACACCAAGGGTACAGACCCTCCGGGTGGAAAACAAAATGACAAGTATTGCATAGGCCTGAGTGGAGTTTATTTTGCAGTTGGCAGCTGGCCTGGAGTAGATGCTGAAGATACAATGTGTTGCAGCTCTAAATCCAGCAGGCAAGTAACACTGCAGGGCTGTGTTTCGCTCTCTTTGTGGTTCAGCCGCCATAATCCCAGGACAGCAAAGGTGCTAGAGGCTATTCCACTGCCTCCCACACTGACCTGCCTGCCACTGCCTTTTCCTAGGCTTTGCTCAGAGCAGTGAGCCTGTGTCAGCACCAAAGGAGTGACACAGTGCCCTGGGATGGATGGGTCCCCGCCACCCTCCCCAGCACGACATCCCTTACAAAACAGGGAGGTCAGGACGTCACAGTGCCCCGATTGCATGGCTGGTGCACAAAGTTCCCAGCACAGACTCTCCAGTAATTTCCACCTTTTCTTTTTCCCTAACGCTGGCCTAAAATACATTTTATCAAGCAAAAATTACATCCTGAAAGCAGCCATGAACATTTCCATGCCCAAAGCTGTGACTGATCAACAAACCCCTACAGTGGAAGGAGGCTCGGAGATGATGGGTACAGGCAATGCACTCATGATGCTCAGGGAAGAATACAAGGAGTTACCACAGAAAGATGAACTTATCTCAATGGAAAAGGGACCTGGAGGCTGGCTTCTGCTTTAGATTAATTGCTATATCAGTTGAGTGATCAACTGGTTGAGTAGGTGGCCTGACTTAATCAAAAGGTATGAATATCTTCCCTAAGCCAGCCAGACCAGCACAGGGCTCAGCCCCACATGAAGTACATAAACTGAGCAACCAACAAAACAAACTTTGAAGACAGCTACAGGCTCGAGCTGGCTTCAACGCACATATTTCTTCCCAGTGACTGCAGATACCCAGCATCATGATAGTGAGCATATACAGACCAGCAATGGGAATTTCATTTGTATAGTGATCCAGCTGGATGTTGCAACTGCTATATTGTGCTTGTATTGGGATTGCTGCTTAACTCTGCTAAATCAAAATCCCATCTAACATCAGATGTCTTCAGATAAGTACATTTGGTGATAACACATTAATCCCTTCTCATATTGGCTCTCTAAAAGAGAGTCTGGTCAGAATGTATTGGACAAAAGAAGCACCAGGACTGCAAGGCAGCATGGTCAGGAAACCCCTCACCACGTGGTATGCATCTCCAGGGGGGCTTGGTTTACTCAAGACAACATACATAGCAGTGTAAAGCAGAATGGTTTGAAATGGCCACCCCTCTGTAGCATCAAGGGCAGATGGGAAAGATGTGAGAAGACAGGCCCATGTGCTTAAGACCTGTTACAACCTGTAAGGCCACAACTTCATGCCAGCAAGAGACAGCAGGTGATACTCTTTTCTGACCTTGATTCAGCTTAATTTTTAGTCGTTTCAACAATGCAATGACAATAAGAAACCAACAACCTTGCATGTATCAAAAAGTAAAACTCTAAATATATTTATTATTCAGTTACATTTGCTTTTCATTGCACAATTTTTTTTATCCCCATGTTTTACAGTTTTTTAGAAAGCTGTTAGGAGTTTTAGAAACTGTTAAGATGATCACTTAAGTCTATTTAGGCACAGTTCATTAACACATAACCCCATTTCCTCCACTTTTTTTCTCTGTGTGAAAGATTTATGGTTGCATTTAAGCTCCAAATTGAAATACATTTCACAGTCTATGCTTTTACAGGCATACTGTCTAAAAAAGAGTTTTTGATTAAATAGTCTCGGCTTATCAAATGTTGCCAGCAAAGCCTAAATGAAAGCAACTTCTTTTCCAGAAATGCTGAAATCAACACAACCCTAAGATAAGAACCATGGTGGCCGACCATTTTCTATGCTAACCAGTCATAGGATAACAAAGAAAGAGTCCTCAAGAGGATTTAAAAATCCCCTGGAAAAAATTGCTTTAACTTGGAAATAATTTAAATAATTTATTCTGTATGAAAAATAAGAAAAAAAAAAACAGCAAATAAAACACATATGGTGACAAAGAAAGTGGTGTATCCCCTGGACTGCTGAGGCTGTGTCAATTGCTCTCCCTTCTGATAAATGATAGCATGAAAACCAGACTGTCATATCCCTGGGGCTACACTCTGTGAAAATGGCTTTGAAGTTTGAAGCTGTCAGGCCTGTTTGACATGGCTGAAAAACCATGAGCTTCTCGATTTCTTACATAGCTCTTCTCTTTGGTGAGAAAGCCCGACCGCTTCTGGTGTAAGATTCATGTGTTTGGATTAAAGCTCTGTATCTGGGGTGAGCTGCTTTTGCATGTAACTGCATACTGCAGGGTGTTCCCAGGGCACAGGAAAGGCCATTCTAGAGGATCTGAAATGAGCTGAAGCTTGTTTCAACAACTTTGTTACTAATATTTTATTTTTTACAAAAAGACTAGTCTTAAATAAGTGACTGATGCCAAAGGACTCTTCCTGAAGAACATGAACAACTATCCCCTCTCTGTAATGCTGCAGAAAAAAAACAATAATATCTGTGACTTTTTAGCACCCACATCTGTTGTTGCTATTTAAAAATGAATTAACTATTTTTGAAAGCTGGGTGAAGTCTTTGCAGCAGAGCAGAAGGGATGCCAAAGTCTTTGTGTGATTCTCATATAAGAGTATTCAGTGCCCATGAGCTCCCTGCTGGCTATTGCTTTCAAGGACAACCAGAGGGGCATCTCACATGAGCACAGGCAGTGCACAGCCTTTAGTACCCTTGCTAAGGAGTCCTGTTTGTGGCTACAGAGACCTTTTTTTTTTTTTTTTTTTTTTTTTTTTTAGACTTTGGGAAATCCTTAGGCTTCAGGGAACTAGCGGGGCATAGTATGCATTCCTACATGTGTCACAACAGAAGTGCACAGTTACAAGTTAAACAGCGGTTGCTTGCTCTCCTTGGGTTTAAGACATCTCCATAAGCTCTGCATTTGGGGCAAGGGAAAACATTCCCCCTCTGGCGTTCCTGCTGTACTCAGACCCCGGGGCAACTGACAGCGTGCTCTCTTGCCCCACACTGTGGGAACAAATGAGAGGAGAACCCCAGGCACCCACCAGGCAGACAGCCCAGCTCTGCACATTGCAGACAGACTGCATAAAGCTGGTCACAGGTGCCAGCCCTGAAACCAAGGACAGGACTAGCATCCTGCTACTGCTCCTGTCCAAAGGGCTGTGCAAAGGGCTGGGGAAGGCAGTGAGCTAGAGAGCTGGTGCTGAAGGGCCCAGATGAGGGTGGCTGCAGGGCTTGGGGAGACAGGGCACCCCTGGAGGATGCAGGGGGCTGGGCAACACAGCTGGGAAGAGGGAGCCTGCAGCTGTAGATGGCTGCAGGCACAGGACACAGCACTGGCACCTGGGAGTTAAGGAAGCAGCAGCATCTGCTCACAAAAGGACAAGCAATAGTCCAGCAACTGGGGGGGGCTGTTCATGACCAGCCATGGTCCTATAATACCCCTGTGGTTGACAGCACACTTCTAGCACCATTGATGAAAGGTATGCTGTGGCTTGGCGGTCCAACTCTCCCCTTGTCCTTTTAATCCCTCTTGGCAAAACCCCCCCTGCCAACTGTGCAGCTTTAAATGTTGTCTTTATTTGTCTGATAAGCACCGCAGGACCACGGCCCCCAGTTGTCTGTGGCTGGTCTTTGGCAGAAGGGAGGAAAGAAGGCCACTGACTCAAGGGACCCAGAGACCTCTGCTGCACCTGCAGCTTCTCTGGTGAGAACCAGGCCACACCACCACCCCTTTATAGCAGGACCTCCAAACACCAACTCTGCTTTACCTATCACAAAAGTGCTGGCCCTTGGTAGTTCCAGTGCAGCCTCCCAGTTGGAGCGGGACTATCCCAAGCACCAGGTCAGGGCAGCCACAGTTTTGCCTACCCCAGCTGGGTAGCTGCAGGGCCGAGCTGTGAGGCAAGAGGGGTGCATGAGGATCACTTCTGAGCTTAGAGGTGCCTCCAAAGCTCAGCTGCAGAGTGGTCTCCTAAGGCAGGAGAACAGCAGCCACAGGAGCTGCACTGCTGGGTCCAGGAGTAGGAAAAGAAGGTGGCAGCTGCCTTCAGTCTCCCATCCTCATGTCATGTGGAGAGGCAGCAAAACAGGTTGTTACTAGAGCTTAACAGGTGGCTTCTCCAGGACCAGAAGAGCAAGATTTTCCAAAGTCTCTCACGAGCAGTAACACATGAGCTTCTGACATAAGTGAGCGGGCAAGCAAGGGGAGCCTGGAGAAGTGCAGCAAATTCATCAATAACCGTCTGGTGATGATTAGGGAAATGTGACCACCACAAGCTAGGGAAGTCCACGCTGCCTGAAGCATCAATTTTCCCCCCAGCAAAAAAACTAAGAGGAGTTATCCATGGAGCTGGAGTCTGCTCCAGTTGCCAGGGGTGCAAAGAGCTGCAGACCAGCACCCTCAGTAACTGCCTATATCCATGTAGAGGTTTTTGAGCTCCAGCTCCAGCTGTTTAATTTGGATATCTCTCTGGTTTACCAGCTCACGTAGTCTACGGATTTCTTCCTGTTGCCGGTAAAACATCTGCAAAAGCTGTAAGAAAAGTCACATTTTACTTCATTTATACTAAGAAAACTCAGACTTAACATGTCAAATGCCACCAGTCCTGTCACATCACTTCTGAGAGAAACAGCATCTAAGGAGGAGGCCTTCAGACAACAGACTGAACATCAACAGTGCTGCTGCTGTCCACTAGCCTGGACTATGAGTGTGGGTGATTCTCAGTGCCATTTAGTAATGCTACACCTGCTTAATTCAAGTGAAAAGATCAGAAAAATATAACTTTTATACCACTGATCACTCAAAGAGAGCCTAGACACAGAGGGTATTCGGAGTCTAAATTCCTGGATCTGCCACATCTCCTACTCTGGCCTTGGCAAGTCCTTTTACTTCTCCTTTTTTCCTGTTGATCATGCTCTGTCCTCTCCAGTTGGGACTAGCACAGCCTTTCACTGTGCATGCAACGGAGCACCCAGCTCTGCAAGGGCTGCTTCTGTAACCTTGGGGCACCAGCTTAGAAACATGCAGAATATCCTTTTTCACACCATAGGGCAATTCAGCTGTGGAAATTCCTGCCCATCAAGCTGCAGATGCCAAAATCTTGCAGAGCCAAAAAGGGGACCTGAGCACAGCTATGGGAAGAAAATCCTTCCAGGGTTTCTAAAAGCAAACAAGCTGCATGTACTCAAAAATGTCCCTGTGACCAGTGACAGGGGGCTTGCAAATCACCACAGAGACCTACCACTGTACAAGCCTTGGTTACTATACAGGGAGGGAGTCAGCCATGGCTCAAGACAGATCATGGAGCTGCCAGGACCTTTTCTGGAGCCATTCCCGGGAGCAGGCTGCGACCAGCAGCCAGCCTCAGTGGCACTGCACCGCCAAGCTGTCACCCAGCGGTAAGCTGCCAAGGCAAGGGCAGAGCCAGCCCCCTTCCCAAGTCAGGGTCCACAGTACAATTAGGCACTTAAGACTACACGGATGCATCATGCGCCAAGGGAGCAGGGTACCCCGACTCCTTCCACGGCTGTCCCTGTTGCCTCACTGGGCTCTCTGAGTACAACTCTCATAGAAGGGTTACACGGCATAAACCCTCTTCTCTTCTCCAGAACCTCGAGGTCACAAGGACCTCCTTGTCCCCACCCAGCCGCCAGGCAGGCCTGTACTACAAGAATGCCTAAGAAGAGGGAATACTGATTGCTTCCTTCTTTCCAGACCCCCTCAGCTGGGGTGCTGCTGGGCCACATTTCTACTTACTGTGTGGCAGCCAGGGCATGCAGAACTTCTGCCCCCACAAAGAACGAAAAGCTTGCACTGGCCCACATCTGCAAAATAAACCCTCCCTGGACTCTGTCACCTTCTGAACAACACCCCTTTGCCAGCGGCTCTGGGCTTCCCCCCAGAGCCCCAACCCTTCACCCCAAACATTCATACCTCATTTTCAGTTTTTGGTGGTGGACACTCAGATAGGTCAAAGCCATTGGAGAGGTGCGTTTGTTCATTTTTCCATAATTTCTTCTCCGCTTGCAGCTGTTTTCTGCTGTTTTCCACCTCACTTCGCTTCTGCATGTCCTCCAGCGGCAACCTTCCTCCCTGACCCTGGTGCCGGCTCGGGTCAGTAGTTTTCATGAGTGGCTCTGCCTCAAGAAACTGTGGTAAGGAATTCATAGCTCCAGAGCCTGGTCTCAAGGATACCAAGAGAGGCCCTAGGGAGGGAGGCAGGTGATGGGTTAGCACTCACAAACCACACCCAGAAATCAGCTGCAATTCATTCAAACAACCTGCAGGGATAAACATAGAGGCACTTGACTGGAGCAGCTTCCAGAGTTCACAGCTGTGAATATTTTAGCCACCAAATTATTTTAGCTTACAGCTGTATTAGTTATGTCTTTCCTTTTCCTCCCATCCTCTTTCTCTGGCACTGAACGGGCCAGAGAGCCAGTGGCAGCTTACCCAAGCCCTGGGGAGCTGAAGGGCTGGGGAACTCTCCGTGTGCTGACCTTTGTTAAATCCGTTCAGCCACTCTTGTGCTGTCAGCGCTGGCTGGGCTCCTGCGGTCAAGGGGTAGATGTCTTCCTGGTATGACTCTGACTGCAAGCAAACAAAAATCCAGAGTCACTAGTCAGTCAGGTTTTGGCTTAGATAGACCATACTGGATTGTTGTGGAGAAAGAAGTTTGTTCCACCTCAGCACAGGGAGTGTCACCCCAAATCAGAAGAATTGTATCTGGAGGCCTATTTTAACTCCTGCCAGTAAGGTCTTTACACATCCAGACAACAGACTGGGGGAAGTTGGTGACACAGGCTAACCCAACTCTCATGAACTCAGCATTCCTGAGGATGAAGAAGTGGATATGAAGGATGGACACAAGTCACAAATCATCAGCTGATCATCAGCTGGCAGAAATCGGCCAAGGAGATAACATTGGAGGAACATGCCTGACTGATAGTTGCCATGAGCACTAGCTCTGCTGCCTCTCTGAATTTAAGGCACTCATTCCTTCCAATGTTAATGAAAGTACAGGGCACAGTGCTGACAGTTCCAATGTACCTTTGCTCACGCAGTCACAGGGGAGCTACCTTGGCTAGCTACAGATTCATGACCTGAGTTATTCTCTAGCCACACCAGCTCTGAGACTTACTTCTACATCACTCTCAGTGCAATGGGTTGTGTCTTACATGCTACAGAACAACTGTCTGTAACACAGCTGCACCCACTGGGTACAGACCTGGGAACCCATCGTTCACTTTTTCCCAGGGTGATTCTTCTTCCTTCCACAAGGAGATTTTCATGTCACCCACCATCATCCCCAACACCTCTCTCTCTTTGGTCATTATGTCAAACAGATCACACCAACTGAGGAAGTTTACAGCCAGCTAGTTGGCCTGACAGTCAGAGAGACCCCTTGCTGCACACAAGCAGAGCAGACCAGTGAGCATGTCTTAGAAAGTTAGCATTACACAGAGACCTAATTCTTGATTTACCCAGCCAAGGTTTGTTGGGAGTGCTGCCCCACAAACTGACCAGCTTTGTCCCTCAGACCAGGAGAGAGAAAATCCCTTGTTCTACCTACTCTCCTTCCCCCAAAAGTCACTGAGAGGAGGCAATGCCCTCTTTTTCACTGGTGTTTGTCCCAGACATGAACATGACCTGAGGTTAACTTACCCGTCGAGGCACAATCATGGAGATGGGCTCAATCAGGCTTTTAGTTGGGATCAGTTTGTAGAAACGGAAAATCTCACAAGCTGACACTTCAAGGCCTCTCTTTGGCATCACTCCTGGTGGCACAGCATGAAACAAACAGGGTATAAATCTCCCTAGGAAAGGTAATGTCATCCACCATGGGAAAAGGGTCACAAAACAACAAAAGGAGTCACAGCATCAGCTCCACAGCAGCATGGTCTGAAATCTGTACCCAAAACTGACTCAGTGGCACAAATGACAAGACTAAATAATTTTTTTTCGTCAGACCACAGAGTTACACACAGGGTCCATGGTTTTCATGCTAAGCCTCCTGTTTCTTATTCATTCTCATGAGCTGCAAACAGAGTGACCAGGACTGAGCAGAACTGGCAGGTGATGCCACAGGATTCAACTATCAGGATCACCAGGAAGGGATTTCAGGACACCTAAACAACAACAGAATAGCTATATGGGTCAGGATGAAAGCCCTTCCAGCCCAGTATCCTCCTCCCAACGTTGTCACAAAGCAGAATGCAGTATGAGAAGGGTGTGAACATCTACTCTGTCATACAGCACTATTTGTGTTTTAGGGACTGGCTAAGCCACACAAGGTCTCTAAGTACCTTGTAAGCTGTTGTGGTTTAAACCCAGTGAGCAACTAAGCACCACGCAGCCGCTCACTCACTCCCCCCACCACCCAGTGAGATGGGGAGAAAATCGGGAGAAGAAGTAAAACTCGTGGGTTGAGATAAGAACGGTTTAATAGAACAGAATTGAAAAAACTAATAATGATAATGATAACACTAATAAAATGACAACAGTAATAATAAAAGGATTGGAATGTACAAATGATGCGCAGTGCAATTGCTCACCACCTGCCGATCGACACCCAGCTAGTCCCTGAGCGATGATCCTCTGCCTCCACTCCCCCCAGTTTATATACTAGACGTGACATCCCATGGTATGGAATACTCTGTTGGCCAGTTTGGGTCAGCTGCCCTGGCTCTGTCCTGTGCCAACTTCTTGTGCCCCTCCAGCTTTCTCGCTGGATGGGCATGAGAAGCTGAAAAATCCTTGACTATAGTCTAAACACCACTTAGCAACAACGGAAAACATCAGTGTTATCAACATTCTTCTCATACTGAACTCAAAACATAGCACTGTACCAGCTACTAGGAAGACAATTAACTCTATCTGAGGTGGAACCAGGACATAAGCTCAGTGGACTTCTCTCCCATGAGCTTGTACACTCCAAAGCCTACAACCATGTCAGTTCCCTTAACAAAGAGATTGCCTCTCCTTGTAGACCTTGCTTCATGATGTCCTACAGAAGCTTTGTTTTCTACTAATACCAAATGACTTCATTAAACAGTAGACTCTATTTGAAGGACTGTTGCTCCTTACATTATGCATTCATCTAAATGCAAATCTAAACTCCACTCCTCTACATTGTATTTTGGTTTGGCATTATTGGGAAAGAAGCTTTTGTGCAATAACCTTAGCAGTATGTTTGATCAACAGAACAGATCAGGTTAGGGAAGTAGATTTGAATTACTCAGGCCTTTTAAAAACACTTGTACATTTCCTTTTCATGGAATGTTCTTTAAAGAGAGTATGACAACATAAAATCAGGATGCTGTACATTGAAAGGATTATAAAAGCTGAATAACGGAGAGATATTCCAGTTAAGTTTTAAATAATTTATTCCTTTCCAATAACAGTTTTTTGAAGGAGACCTGCAGGCACAAAGTCCAGTGCTGCTAAATAGCTGTACCAACGTCCAAGAATGGGAATGTCCACATGTAGTGTGGAGGGGTGGCAAATCATCTTAAAAACATGTCAGTCTGTAGAGGAATATGGCTTACAGGACAGACTGCAGAAGGTTCAACAAAGGGCTACCAAGAGGGTGTGAGGGCTGAAAGCTAAATTCTGTAGCTTGAATGAGTTAAACAGTGGGTAGTATGCGCACAGGTTAATAAGGAAGGGTCACCAATAGAGGAAAGGTGACCCTAATCACAGCAGGTCTATCTTTGAATAGGAAATGCCAGTACAGAAGGTAGGCAAGTGATAAGAGTGAAGGCATTAGATGTGGAATACCCATTACCAGAGAAATCCCAGAGTGGAAACAATGTCAACTGAGTTTAATGCCAAAAATCTCAGAGCAGATTCACAAAGGGCAAGGAGCATCCTCCACCTTTAAATCCAGACTATCATCCCTTCCACCTTGACAAGGTATGTGAAAGGGGATGCAGCAGCGACTGGTAAAGCTGCTCGGCCCATGCTCTGCTGGTCGGAAGGGACCCATCCAAGCTGTGACCCTATATATCACCTGTGATATATAGGTGAGCTGGGCCAAGCCGACTGTTGTGCACCTGTAAACCTGGGTGGAGCCTGGAATCTGACCCACTCTTTTTTCTGAATTATATTTTGGATAGTCCTGGACTCTGACAGCCTCTAAAACAAAGAAGCCACCATCCTGTTGTAACGTTAGACATATGCTGCCACTCACCAATTCCCTTCTGTGGTAAATGAGAATGATATTCCATCAGGTAGTTTAGGTATGGTTTCTCAGGGCTTATCTCATAGTACCGTATATTTCCATCACCCTAAAGGCAAAAAAAATGAACATAAGCCAGGGTCTGCTGTTCAGCATGAGGGTCTGAGAAGAATGCCTGGCCCCAGAAGCCATGCAGGCTCAAGAATGAACCAAATATTTACTGCCAAATTCCTATGTGGGAAAGTTAGGGCTCTACAATGTACCTCCCCGCAGTAAACATGGTACATCTGCAGTGGCAAATGTAGCCTGATGCTGCAGCACCCTCAGGCCCCATCCGATCAGCGTATATCTTTAGGCTAATGTGCATCAGAAGCATCTTTGACTTCAGCCTGATGCAACGCAGGCCAGGAGAAGAATCAGACAGGCCAGCATTTGTTGATATTGAAAGCACTTACCTTTCCCGCCACGTAAAGCATGCATGTGTCTGAGTCATAGAAAGGAAACAGGAGTCCTGAAGAGCCATCGAGATCCTCCTCCAGTAAAGGCACAGAAAGGTCATTCTGGGCAGGACACAGAAAAAAAAGACAGCTGCAATCATCTGTCACTCACCTCAGGTCAGGGACACCTTACCTGAATCCCACCTGGCAGAGGTATGTAAGCGCAGCTCTATAAAGATCCCAGGACACGGCCAGCTGCCCTGAGCAGAGGGCCACACACAGACTTCTTCAAAGCTTTATGGGTGGGAAATGGGTGTTTTGTCCCTGGCTCTTGACTGTGTGCAGCACCTCAGGACATCAGTTCCTACCACCAGAACATGTCATGCACCTGATGACATCTCAGGGGTAGACATGATAAGAAACACTGCCTGCCTCTACGTGGGCCACCAGACTCTGGGAGATGGAGGGGCCTTCAGGGCATGTCTGCATCACACAGTGAATTACTCATGTTCCCTCACTACCTCTAGTCAAGGCAATACCTCCACAATAGTGCACCACTCACCACAAGAACAGTCTACATCAGCCAAGCAGTCTCCACACTGCACGGTGGGAAGGTTCCCATTGCAGGGGCAAAAGCTTCCATCAGCCTATTGCAAGTTAGCCATGTAGGAAGACATAGCACACCACTCCATACACAAAGCTGGCATGCCTCATATAAAGCTATCCCTGCACTGCTGAAGGGAGCAATGTTGGGAGGATCAATGGGGCAGAGTATAGTGTCCCATGGCTGCCATTGTGGCTATTGTCACATAATATGTATTTAGCATAGGGCTAATACATACTTTGTCCTGCAGAACTGCCTAGCTGCAGACTCCAGAAAGCCAGAGCTTCTGTTTGGATGCAGTGATGACATGGGTGGACAAGGACCTCAGAAAGAGACCTGTGGGCAGGTCCTGTCCAATGAATGTCCCTAAGGAGGCTGCACATGCCTGGCCTCACAGGCCTTCCCACTATGTTCTCAAACTAGGTGTGGCCAGCTCCTCTAGCAGCTCTGAAGGCAGTGAAACCCTGATATGAGACCCATGGTGTGTCAGAGCACTGCTCAGCTTTGTGGAAAGCCTTCAGACAGCAGCACAGTGCTTTGCCTCCCACATATGCAAAGAAACCATGTCCAAACATAGCCAAATGGCAAATCATATACCTGGTCTACCAGCTTTGTCTGGTACAAAGGGTAACAGCACGACAAAGAAGCAAAATATTGTGCTGCAAGTTGGTTGATGTGGAGGGACAAAGTGAGATGCTGACAAAGGAAAAGCATCTCAGTGCATATGAAAGGTGTAGAGGAGAGCAGGTTTTCATAAGGCTAGCAGTCATCATGATAGGAGATCTTGTCTTGGAAGTGACCAATAAGTGCTACCTCAATACTCTACTGTTAGGAATCATCAGAAGTCAAAAACACCCCACATCTTTTTCCCCATTGAGGGCTTCACCTGAGTAGACTGTGTCTAGAGCTCATTTCTCTTTCCAGTACTAGCAATAATTTGCCAGTAAGACCAGTAAAAGCTGCTTTTAAGTCAGAACTACAGTGACCACCCAAAGGTCCTTTGAAGGATTTTTTCCTGTAGGGGGCACAGCATTCTCTTTGTTCTGGAGGATTTCTATGCTGAAAGCTTTGAGACCACCTTCAGAAACTCAAACTCAGTTAACAGTGTCATAGCAGTAAGACCTATCACCCATTAAGAATGTGACAGATCACTTCTGAATTGCTGTTATAAACCAGTTCTTGGGTATTTAGCAAGTGGAAAACTTAAAGTGACAGCCAAGAGAGAAAACTGAAGCTGGTATGGTTATGATTGCTGGTCCAACTCACTTGATCCCATAATGCAATTTGCCTATTATTCCACCGAGATGTTCCAGTAGAGAACAGCTTTTTCACATTTCCAAGGAACAAGACTTTATTGACTCTGTGAGACTTGTAGCTGGCTTCCTATAGGAAGAGAAAGGACACTGCGTGAGTAAGAGACAGCACCTGCTGCATAGCTACATTGCATGTTACACGACACCTCTGATTCAGTCACATGTGAAAGATCTGCTCAGCCTGGCTGAATTACAGTGAGCAGATTTCATGGGGATCCAAGGAAGGTGGCCTAAACTCTTCAGGAGTTTCCCAAAAGCCCAGTCAATCTCTCAAATTATTCATTCAAGTATTTGCAAGGGGGCAATCTCTATTAGTTTTAGGCAGGACTTCCCGTGTACACAAATCTGTGCAAACACCTACAAAACAGTCAGCTTCACCTTACCAACAGATATAAAGTACAGGCAACAGGAACAACCCTGGCAGTGGGACACATGTACACTTGCATCCACCTGCCCACTGTATCTCTACAAAGCCCTCCCAAGGCATCCCACAGAGGACTGGACAGGCTGGATCAATGGGCTGAAGCCAATCGTATGAAGTTCAACAAGGCCAAGTGCCAGGTCCTGCACTTCAGTCACGGCAACCCCATGCAGCGCTACAGGCTTGGGGAAGAGTGGCTGGAAAGCTGCCCGGCAGAGAAAGACCTGGGGGTGCTGGTTGACAGCCAGCTGAATATGAGCCAGCAGTGTGCCCAGGTGGCCAAGAAGGCCAACGGCATCCTGGCCTGTATCAGAAATAGTGTGGCCAGCTGGAGCAGGGAGGTGGTTGTTCCCCTGTACTCGGCACTGGTGAGGCCGCACCTCAAGTGCTGTGTTCAGTTTTGGGCCCCTCACTACAGGAAAGACATTGAGGTGCTGGAGCGTGTTCAGAGGAGGGCAACCAAGTTGGTGAGGGGCCTGGAGCACAAGTCTTATAAGGAGCGGCTGAGGGAGCTGGGGCTGTTTAGTCTAGAAAAGAGGAGGCTGAGGGGAGACCTTATCACTCTCTACAACTACCTGAAAGGGGGTTGTAGTGAGGTGGGTGCTGGTCTCTTCTGTCAGGTGGCTGGAGATGGGACAAGAGGAAATGGCCTCAAGTTGAGGCAAGGGAGATTTAGGTTAGATATTAGGAAATTTTTTTTTACTGAGAGGGTTGTCAAACATTGGAATGGGCTGCCCAGGGAAGTGGTTGAGTCACCATCCCTGGAGGTATTGAAAAATCGAGTAGACAGGGTACTTCAGGACATGGTTTAATGGGCATGGTTAATGGTTGGACTCGATGATCTTGAAGGTCTTTTCCAACCTAAATGATTCTATGATTCTATTCTATGACTGCAAGAGGGAGCTATGAAAACAGTGCACTTCAAGAAGGGTTTCAGGGAGCAAGGAGCATGGTACCAAGATGCAGAAACCCTGTTTTCTACAATGACAGCAAGTGTTCCATGAAAAGTAGAAGGCAACAGCACCATCCAGTGCCTGGGGCAATGTGGGGCATGGGTGCATCTTCTTTAATGGCAACGAATCTACCCAGAAGAGGAAACACTCTAAGGGGTATGATCAGCTGGACCACAAACCTACTTGTAGGACTGTTCCTGCACGAGGGTCTATCAGACGTATCTTTCTGTCCCTGCAGGCTGTGGCAAGGAGACTGCCATCTGTGTTGAACGACATGGAGAGAACCACATCTTTGTGAGCGTCGAGGATCTTCACCGGGTTTGAGATGACAGCCTCCCTAGTGTCAAGGTTCCAGATCATTATCTGGAGCAAAAGAACATAAAAATCAGCCCTTTGCTGCCTGATCAACTGGGGACTTTGTGTACTCTATTCACTTCTTCCTCTCTTCTCTAAATGTATAGGTCTTACTATCATAAGTGGTTGTTCCCTGACATTTAAAATAATTCCTGGTACTTACAGCAGTGTATCAGGGACACAGTGTCTGCTCAGAATAACCAATTTTCTAATTTCCTTTGCAACCACATTTTAGACATAAAAATGGCCAGCATCAATGCAGATATTTGCAGTAGCACAAGAATGAAGCCAAACAAAAGTGTATGGCATTGCATATTGTATCCAATCAGTAATGGAAAAGGGGAGAGTAGACTGAAGTTCATCAGAAGACTGGAAAATCAGCCAGTCCTTTTGAACTTGTAGCAATGTCCGTTTGCCTTTGGGGTCAGCATGGAATATAGCCCTCAAGAAGGCTTCTGAACTCTTTAGTATTATCTTACAGCTTGAAATTAAAACAAATTTCAACACACTCTGCCAAACAGGGTGTCCCCGGAGGAGAGGTCCACAGAGAACAGACCCACCTTGTAGTCATAGCCGGAGCTGAAGAGGATGTTATTAGCAGTGGGATGCCATTCAATGAGGTCCACTTTGCGAACATGGCCAAGAAGTTCCTTCTTCGGATTGGTAATGTTTCTTGTTAGCAAGTGCTTGGGGATGTCCCAGATTTTAACCTGAATGGCACAGGATGGGTCTTTGTGAGATTCCTGAGTAAGGAGCGAATCTGGAACTTACCAATAACTATTATTGCCTTATTATTATTATTCCCTTGGTAGTGAATAGTGAATAAAGCTCCTGGCTTTACTGAATGCCAGTCCTTTAAATTAGTATCTTTACTTTTTCGTGGGCCTGAAGACTCCTCGTTACCCTCTATCTTTAGCCAGCAGTTCTACCACTTTGTTTTCTCTTGGCAATCCAACCCTTACACCTGGCCAAGCTGTCAGCACAATTAGGAAAAGTTATTCCCAAGGGGAAGAAGTAAACCACAGATCTTACAGACCTTTCCTCCTAACAAACTTTGAGCAGGAACAAGCAAATCTGAAATAAACTTCAGAAAAGAGTCCTAGAAGATATTATAGAAGTGATTGATCCAAGCAGTCATCCACTCAACACTACCTGGTAAAAGAACTGAGAACTCCCCTGGTTAGACGACAGCTATGGTACTGTTTGTCCCATAGAAAAATACACCAGTGCTGAACACTTTGCAAATGACACAGCCATTTGTCAAAGTAAAGAGAAGCCCACCCAGGTGGCCACACAGCAGATGCCCTGAGAAGAGAGACTGGGCAGCACTCAACACTGGGAGTGTGCTATCTCATAATAGGTCTACCTGCAGCCCTGGGTTATTCTAGAAGGATGCTACATGAAGACAAAAGTCATTTGTCCTCCTGGGGTGGAAGAAGACAATAGAGGAAACCTGCAAAAGGGGCTGAACCTATGCAGGTAAAATGAAAGACTCTTTCTCACACTAACCATAGAAGCACAAGTATTTAGGATGCAAACAGATGATTAGCCCTTTGACTCAATGAAAATTACTATGCTTGTCAGTTTTCTAGGACTTAGCCTGAAGCAAGAGGGAAATGCTCTTTGAAGCAGATAGTTCATGGAAGTTAGCCACACCCACCCAAGTCTCCCACTGTTTGGCTGATGAGGATCACACCTTTCGAAGCCAAAGAAGGAGAGGCACAAATTCTGGGCCCTGCTGGGAAAGATCATGAGCACCCTTCTCAACAGTGTTTATCCCACTGAGGAATCAAGCCCATCAGAAACCCAAGGACTGTGGGATCCAGTAGCCTCCAGATTAACTTCTACAGCTGTAAGAGCAAGCAACACACTCTACAGCTTCAACAGCTATCACTAAAGGAATGGGGCTGAGAGAGTAGAAAAGGGAACAATAGGTTGTGTTCACGCTGCAAAGAACTGCCTAGAATGAACCATTCACTCCCCATGCTATGAAATGGTTGGTGGTAAAAGCAGCGAAAAGCCCCTGGCAGGAATCTCAGGATGCATTAAATGGCAGAATTTGCTAGTGCTTAGCATGCAGAAGAAGCAGGTCTTGGAGTCAGACCTGTCAGGCCAAGCAGGAACAATCCATGAGCCTTCTACCCTGCTGCATCTTGAAGAAAAACTGACATAGCAAAGTAAAAGGCACAGAGTTGCCCCTCTAAACATAGGGGAGATCTTCAGCAACCTGAATTCATACATGCCTGATGATTTGCCAAAAGGAACAGAAGAGTTAAGAGGATAAGCCATCTCCCCATACTGCTCAAACTCTCAGCCCCTGGCCACTTGCCTTGCCCTCAGTCCTAAGCCCGCCTGAAGCAGCAGTGGGAACTGGAAAGGTCACTGGGTGTTCACAGAGACTATCCATCCCCTCCAGTACCCAGAAGTACCACTCTACGTGTTTTAGCTACACGCCACAAAAGATAGCTGTAGTACCACCAAGGCAAGCTGAGGAAAGGCTGGTTAATGTCCAAGAAACCTCTGAGGAATGTGGGTGATTGGAAATTTCCACCATCTTCACAGAAGCTTTTGGCGTCCTCAAAAGTTCCAGGGAGACCCAGTCCAGTAAGAGCAATCAGATGCATCCTAGCATACAAGCCAGAACAGTGGCTTATGCTAATGCTCAGAAATGGCAGAGAGCACCAGGCCTTTAACAAAAGATAGCAAGGGAGGCTTCAGCTCTAATGTCCAGTCCAGTAGAAGCGTTGGATGCTTCTGGGACCCCAAAAACTTCCTCAGACTTCTCTCAGAACAGAGAGAAAGTATTACTATGGAGATGTCCCAACAGTATGTGCAATCTGAGCTCTCCAGTACAGGCCAGGACAAGTAAGACAGATGTTGACCCCATGGAGTAAGTCCAACAGCAGCCAATGAGATGAGGAGGGGACAGGGGCACAGCAAATCTCAGGAGAGCTGGAAAGAAATTAATTTTTTCAGTTTGGGAGTGAGAAGGCAAAGGTGAGCTCTTCTGGCTGCCCTTCAACTGCATTGCAGGAAGGCACAGAGAAGATCGAGCCAGACTCTTTGGAGGTGCACAAGGAGACCACAAAAGTCAATAGACACAAATGGCAATATGGGCACTTTCTGGAGATCGGAGCGCCCTATTTTCCCTACAAGGGTACTCAACCCCTGGAAGAGGGCCCAGTGAAGCCACAGGATCTGTAGCCTTGGAGATCTTCCCAACTCATCTGGAGAAGGCTTGAAGCAACCTGATTCAACTGGCCTGCTTTGAGCAGGGCTTGGACTAAGTGACCTTCACAGGTCTAGCTACCAGGTACCAGGAAATACCGTCATACTAAGAAACACAGTCTGCTGTCCCCACTACTTAGCGTGGAGGGAAGAGGTGTCCGTACACTGTGTCACTGTGCAGGGGACCCCTAGAATCCCATTTCCTGATACAAGGATGATGATGGGAGGGTAGTACCGAAAAAGAGAGTACAGTCACAAACAGTAAGACTTCTTAAAACAACTTTTGGTGCTGAGACCAGTGACAAGCTCAGTGTTTCCATTCATTAGCCTGAAGAATGATCCAGTGCCAAGTTGCAGTAGGAAAATGGAAAAGCACGCTGACAGAGAACAGTCCTTCTGTATATACCCCAGGGTCCTGGTGGACAATAGAATAAATATGACCCAGCAGCAGCATGCCCTGACAGGGATGAAAGCTAGCAACATCCTGGTCTGGAACAACAGAAGGATAGCTACTAGATCGAGGGAAGCGATTTCCCCTTTACTCAGCAATCATTAAAAACCAGCTGGAATACTGCATCCAGTTTTGCACCTTCCAGTGCAAGAAAGATGCTGATAAACTTGAGTCCAGTGGGGGCCACCAGGATGCTCAGGAGGCTGCAGCACTTGTCCTGTGAGGAGAAGCTGAGGGAGATGGGCTTGCTCAGCCTGGAGAAGAAACAGCTTCAGTGCAAACTGATAGAAGCCTTCAACACTGACAAAAGACTACTGAGAAAATAGAGCCAGGCTCTGTCTTGAAGGGCAGGGTGGGAGGACAGGATACAGCGGTCACTAACTACACTCGGGACGTTCTGACTGCACATAAGGAAAAAATTTCCCCATGGGAGCAGTGACCAACAGGAACAGGTTGCCCAGAGAGGTGGCGAAATCTCCATCCTTGGAGGTTTTCAAGACTCGCTCCACAGACCTGTGCAGGAGGTGGGAGTAGAGACCACTCAAGCTCCCTTTCAACATGAATGGTCCTGTGATTCTGTAACTGCAGCAGGAATCTTCGAAGCTTGTGCTCATTCCTCATCTGAGGCTCAAAAGAGAGGGCATGGTGGTGCCTTCCTGCCGCAAGTCCTTTTTGAGACAGCATGAAAATCTGGCATACAAGTTGGAAGATAATATAAAACCCTCACAGGCAGCTCAGAAATTGAAAGAAGCCTTCAAAAAAGACATGAATACCCAAAGAAGCAGAGGCAAGTCACTAAACGGGAAGGACAATTCAAAGGGCCTAGATTTCCAATTCAAGAGTGATTTCTGGCAGAGCTGAAATGGCAGAGGATGTGCACCAAGCCAGGGCTGGAGGAGATGACAAGGGAAACCTCACTGATGCTGTGTGGCAGAGGGTGAATATAGCCAGTGGGAGAAAACACACATAGGATCTCTGGAAAAAAGCACAGTAGTTAGTCAGATGTCCTCACTATCACAGAAGTCAACATCACACATTTGACAGGACATGGAAAGCAACCTTTCAATGGGTAGATATGGGCTAAACTGTCCCTTACAAACATGAATTAAATCTTTCAATTCCTAATAACTAGTCTGCAGCTACACTGGAGTAAAATATGTGACTGCATCTTAATTATACTAACTTCAGCTAAACTACTTATTTCAGAACAGTATGATGCAGATTCCTCAGCTACCTCATAACTGATCCAGCATGACTTTAGAGAGTAACTGAGTGTAGGAACACACTCAAACTTGCTCTGCAGGGAATTAATCTGAAATAGCTGTTCCAGATTATGTTGTGCTGAAGCTTTTATTCTAAAGTAAAGGAATAGTTTCATAGCAATTAAACTTGAATAGTCATTCCATTTTAAATTCATATGCTGTTTTTCTCATGCAAACACACCCAAAAAGATGCAAGCCCCCACAAAACAGATCTTCCTCCTCACACTGATTTTGGTATATCATCCAGAAGGGATCACAAAGGTCTGACCTCAAGAGAAAGAAAGGAAACTTACTCTTACCTGACTTTTTTTATAAGTATATATATGCTTTCACATCTCATCCATGGGCCTTTTGGTTTCTTTTTTGTTTCTTTCCCCAAAAAACACATTAGCCAGGTAATAACGCAGAGTACAAGCTGATAAACTTACTGAGGCATCTTCTGAACACGAAGCTATTACAAAGTCATTGAATGGGTTCCACTTGACGTCCAGAACATTCCCTTTGTGCCCACATATTTTGGGATAATGTGGGTCGAGCTTGCCTGTCTGGAAAAAACAAGTATCATCAAACTTAAGGTGAGCCATGGAATTATGGGACATTTCCAAGGAAGATCCAAGCCAACTCCAGCAAGAAACTTCTTTCTGCTTGTTATGCTACAAATGCCCTGGGTGCTCTCTAGCTGTTGAGAATGGGTTTTTGCTGTCCCTGCACGGCAAGTCTTGATGATACCACTGAAAAGAAAGGAAAGAAGTACTCAGACCTTCCTAAGTACACACTGCTATCAAGAAATCTGTACAGCAATCAAGTCTGCTGAAGTTAGAAGACAGTATTTGGTTCAGACACCAGAATAAAACTTAGAGGAAAAATAATCGTGAATGAGTTGAATCTTCAACATTTTTTAAAGATCTTGGGGGGGACACACAAAAAACCAAACAGACTCTTTCAGAAGACATTTCTTATAAGCAGGGGAGGGGAAATGGTTTAGCTTTTATTTTTTAGCCTCACCAGCTAGCATTTATTTTATTTTTTAAGTGAAAAGAAAATTGTGACACAAATTAAAAATGCAGTTTTTATTTCAACAAGCGATCTATTTCTCTCTGGTAGTGTTCAAATCTAGCCATTCACCGGATTCAATCAGCGCTCCAGACTCTCCAAAAAAATGCCCTGTTCAGGTGGCATCTTTACTGGTAAAATTGCAAAGTGCATTAAGGAGTATTGAGGGCATTGTGCCACATGGGGGCTGTGTTGCATCAGGATAAACCCATACTTTAGGCTCTGCTACAAACTCAAGTCGGTATATTTATTATGTGCTAGGAAGGTGCTGGGGATTTTATTAACATTGGAGCAGCACTTCCTGCTCCCTGTCAGGAGCAGGAGAAGTATGGGGAGCTGCAGGACCCACCCTGCATCCCAGACATCTGTCGAAGAGCAAAGGTCAGTCACCTAAGGAGAGAGATGTGGTGGCAAGCTGCTGATGCTTACCTGCTTACTTTTATCCCACCTGGAAGAATCGTAAATCAAAATGAATGCAAATGCGTGCTCTCCTGGAAAGCAGACACTTCTGTTGGTGTCATCCCTGCATCTCTCCAGAGGTAGGCCTTAAGAGTGCACAGCAGAGGGGAATCAGTGTTGGCCCTAACCTGGATGGGGCTAGGATGTAATTTTCCCAGCCTTGAAAATTTGTATGGTTTTGAAGGCAGAATAGGACACAATATGTAACTATTCTGGCTTCACCGGAAAGTTTGTCGCATAGACTGGGACGAACCTGCTTTAAACTGAACACCCAGAAGGCTTTGAAATGTAAAAGACTGTGCTTTTTTAGACTACAGTCTAAAACAATTCCCTTTTATAATAGCAACAATGCAAAGTGACTTGGGAAGGCAGAAGAGAGATAAAAGGCCTTTAATAAGCAGCGTTCCCCCGCCCACGGTGTCCTTTTGTAGGCTTCAGGACTGGTTTCAAGCTGGCAACTCAATGGGCTGGGCAGCCAGCTCCACAGGGATCCCTTGATCCGTATGGGAACTCTGTCCCCTCCCAGAGCTGGCTGCCTGTCTGCTCCCCACTCCATTTGGGAGACTCCCAGGCTGCCCTGAGCTTGCCTCTGTCTGCCCCATACTGCAACGCTCTCCTACCTCCACATCCCCAGCAGGCTCAACTGGCCCTGGAAGAGGAGCCCTTACCCTCCCAGCCACGCGTCCCACCTGCCCCAATGCAACCCTGCAGCCCTGGTACAGAGCAGGACCCACAGCACATGAACCCCTAGGCTGCAAACAAACAGGTAGGGCTGTTGGTCTCAGACTCGCATCTGCATGTGGAAGTGAAGCTCTTCATGTACTGAGGGAAATTTCATTCTGCAGACCAAAAACTATTTCAGTAACTAGATTTGTTGTCATTCATGCAGAGGTACCTGACTTCCACAGTTACTTGCAGAGCTTGAAAATGAGTAATTTTTCAACCACTCACTTTCTAAACTCCCAGCATTTTTGAAAAGTAGCCAAACTCAGAGTTCCTTGACAAAACCACTTCTAGTGGGACAGCTGTTAAAACTCTCCCAGCAGATTTGTACACGCTAGATTACTGTGAGATGGGACAGCCCCACCTCTCAGGTGTTCTCCAAAGGGCATTAACACACCTTGTCATCACAGCACAGCACTCACATATGGCATCAGTTAGGTAAGGCCTGAGAGGTCATCACAGGTTTCATTTCATACTCCTTGCCCGCAGAGAGAAGGGAGCAGGGTTTGTGTCTAAGAGGTCTACACAACCGCAGATGTCCTCACTTTCACACCTGGTACTTACACATTGAAAGACTGGAGACTGCAAAGACTTGGACACAAATATCTCTCTGTCTCTCAGGACTTTGTTCTTATTTTGCTATCCGTTTGCTTTATGTTGCGAAGGAACAGACAGATGCAGTCTCAACCAAGTCTGGTCATCAGAAAAGGAAAAAGGCAGGCCTTTGTCTTTCAAAGGAAGGCCACAGAATTGCCTGCTGAGTCAAGATCCTTCTTTGGCATCAGTGGATGCACTTCCCCAACACATCTGTCAGACACCAATCTACACCCAGGCCACTATGTGGGAAAGTAGCTCATCTCCCAGTTACAGCCACTGAGCCTGAGTCTCCTCAGACTTGGAACATTCACAAAGGTAGTCAGTCTGTTCTAGGCACCAGGCAGCCCCTGTGGCCACAGCCACTTCCCTCCCTGGTGAGATGTCCTTCAATGACACATCTTCATGAGGACCTAACTGACACATTCTGCAACAGAAGACTATTCTCCAAGTGGTGGTAAATATTCAACTAATTCCTCTTTGGGTTGAATGCAAAGGCCTGCTGAAAGGAGGATATCTATGGCAAAGAGCTCTTTCCCTACATAACCTCTGCTGCTCAGCCCCAGGCTCTCAGAGAGGAAGAATGGTGCAGAAGGCAGGAAGTGGTATTTATTCAAGGAGAGATGAGAGAGCTTGGTGTCCATGACTCAGCAGGAGAGGAGCACAACAATCAAGCAAGGAAGCACGGTTAAACAGAGAGAGGTTGAGCCTGCATTTGAGCACACGCTGAAGCAGGCAGCCCCTCCAGTAGCACGCAGAGAATGAACTCAAAAAAGCACTGGAGGGACAAGAGCAGCTCCCCGAGCAGGTTTCATCCTCCCTGGAAAGTGGAGCCCTCCCTGTCCCAGCTACCATCTCCCACTATGGCTAAACATGATGTCCTGACTCTTGGGCTTTTCATCCACACTGTGGCATGCTTGGGATGTGGCTGCTCCCTGTGAATCCAGTCAAAACCACGGATCAGCTGTCCATCATGAGAGGGCAATACTGTCCCAGGCACATACCTCCAGACTGGGCTGCCTTCAGTGGCCTGGCAGCCAGGGTCACAAGCTAAGAGCCCAGTATGCCGTCTACCATGGATCACCACTACAGGAGGAGGTGGCAGCCATAAATACCACCACCAGGAGCACAAGTTGAAAGCTGCCACTTTTCACTAGGTGGCACCGGTTTGGAAGTGCATTGTGAAAAAAAGTAACTGTATCACAACCCCCAGAGGCAGGGAAACCCTTTCTGCGGGTTGCTGAGGCTGCTCTCCCCCACCAGCATGGGTCAGGAACAGGTATTCAGAGAATGGCTGTATGAAGCACAGCATGTACAGATCCTTTCTCTGATACATCACCAAAGGTCAGCCCTCGAGGGACTTCCTGAACTAGGGGAACTACATCTGCACAAACACAGTTTGTAAAGCAACTCCTCTCCATAACTCTGTCCTGTTTTGAACCCCTTAATTCTTCTGGGCTCATCAGCATCTGGAGCAGTGAGCTCCACATCTGAACTGCAGAAGCATTCACATCTGCTGCTAATGGTCTCCTCCCTGGCCTCCAGGATCCCCTGCACCACGCAAATCAAGAATTGCTCCTTAGACTTCTTCCCCACCCTCTTCACAGTTTTATATACCTCACTTGGTTTTTTTCCCAGACTGACTGAGGCCTAACCTACAAAGTCTTTCCACACATGAAAGCAGTTTCACATTTTCTGATGTACTTTAATTATCCTTTTCTGTATCTCCTAGTTCTACCATGCCTTTGACTTCTGCAATCAGTATTTCGGATCTGGGTGGAGTATCTGAGCAGATGTTAAGAATGGAAGAATTGCTACTAAAGACTAGCCAGGCTGAGAAGAGGTGAGAAGACAGAAGAATTAAGAGTAAGCAGTGCAAGCACCTTCAGCTCATTTTGCCAACACTTTGAGAGCTGGGTCCTACCCCACATCCCACAGTCACCAGCTGCCTGCTTATAGATGCAGCTCTGTGATAAAGACAAGTTCTTCAGCCTCAACAGATCATGGCTGAGGGGACAGAAATGACTCAGTCAAGAAAGACAGGGTAGTGGTTAATTTTAGAAGGACTGTCTCTGAACAGCACCAGCGGTGAAGGAGCTGAATAAACAGAGTTTACAAGGGCCGGGAACTGTGCTAGGTTCTTCACGCATAGCCAGTTCGCTTTCATCCTTAGCAAATATATATTGAAAAAGTGGCATTGCAATAACACCATCAATTAACTTTTAATTAAAGGCTGAACTTTCGCCTTTCATCTGTTCTGCCCTGATTCCAGAGAGCTCATAATCTTATATTGAAGGGAATCCACATTAGTGCATGCCTAATTCTTCTGAAGCAATAAACATCAGACAGCTAGCTTCTCCCTCTCATCAGATCCCTAAGTCATCAAAACCCATAAACATGGGATTTGTTTCTGAAAAGGAAGTTTTTCCAGCATCAGTGCTTGAAGCTTAAGAGCTTCATTGCTTGATAACTGTGTCTCCATTCTTTCACAAAGGACAGGTTAGAGCAAAACATACCATATGCTCCTTTGGTCACAGCTGAAGCCATGCCATTAAAGCACCTTTCAGTTTTTGCCCTCTGTATCTACTGCTTTTTTATTTGCAATTTCTCCTAGGAGACAAACATCTGAACAGCATAGTTCCTGCTGATTATACAAGAAAGGCAAATGAGATACAAAATGAAAGAAGGTGTTAAAAAACTGCAAGCAGCAATGTAAAACATCTAAGTACACACATCCCAGGAATCACCCGTCAGGACATCTGGGGCCCCTTCCATCATTTTGCAATTCAGGCAACAGCATTAACTGAATATCCTCTGTGTGATCTAGCTCCCTAGAAAGCCTGGCTCTTCTCCAGCCTCTCAAAATGCTCTTGAAAGCCAGCTTGCCTCAGCAGAGCTCACCTGCTGGATGGGAATGACGATGAAGGCCCCTCCACCCACGCACTCGGTCACCACAGCAATGAAGTGGGGGTTCACGGCACAGAAGTGGTTGTCGTGGACGTTGCGGGTAATGGGCACACAGTCGTAGCACTTGTCCTTGCTGGCGGCTTTGCCGTACACATGACGGAACTTGGAGCTGCGGTACTGTCGGTGCCAAGACATCTGCAAGGGGAGAAACACAACGCCCCATGACATAAGGACTGGCTGTCCCAGCAAGGCTTGCAGACCTCCACTCTCCTCTCCACAGCACAGGCTCATATTCCCTATTTGGGCTCCTCACACCAACCCTCAGCCAGCAAGCAGCAGCCACGTTTTTGTTTGCTGGTCTTCACCCCTTTGGCATGACCTGTCTTTGCACCCATTGCACATCTCTGATGGAGAGAGGGGAGTGCAGGGGAGAAAAGACAGCTCTCTTCATCACCAGCCAGCTGGGCTGTACATGCACCAGCAGTCCCTATTGCTGGGGCAGGGCCACATGGCAGCAAGTTTAAGAGATCAATCTCAGTTACACAGAGCTCAGGAAATACGAAAGATAAAACATCTTGGGTGAGGAAAGCATGAAAGATGGCCAGTCTGGATGCATGCTTCGTTTAGCACTCAGGTGCTTTAGAACCAAAAACAAGTCTAAATTTTGCTCACATGAAGGGAAAAAAGAGGTTTGAGAGATCATAGGAATAGTTACAGTCACCTGTTGGTTTTTTCCCACTGACAATGACATTCTGCATGTCTGGTTTATAACTGCACTGCAGCCCTCTGACAGACAGCATTTTAAATGGTGTTTAAATGAGATACACAAAGCATGCTAAACATAGGAATCCCTTCCTACAGAGAGCAATAATGCTTAATGGAACTGATGCAACTGATTTCAAATAGGAAACCACCCATGCTGGGCAGAAAAAGCAATTCAGACTATTAACTCCAGCTCTTTCCACAAGACCTAGACAGTAAAATGCACATGGTGAGGATGGTGAGAAGACCCTACTGCACAAAGGAAAAGAAATGCAGATCAGGCAAGAAGGTTATGGCTGAAAGAAAGCCCAACACAATCAGCTGCGAATATAGGCAGAGACTGGGAGAGAGCTTGGGTTTGTCCCATATTGAACTGTTTAACGTGCATTGGGTGAATGGTATTGTCAGTGATGCTGAATCAACGATACTCCAGTTTGAGAGGGGAACTCAACCAAGCAGCTTTTGGGTTACAGGAAGACTTTGACCGCTCACTCACATGGGTAAGCATTTGAAGGGAAGCATGCACTCAATGGCAGGAAATCAAGTGCATCATCACCTGACAAGTAGGGGTCTAAGCAATTCTAAACCAAAATATCCTTGTTGCTGGCACAGTATTGCATCCCCCTTGGATGACTATTAAATGCTCGGAAACTGTATTGCTTGATCCTGGGCAGTCTAACTGGAGCTTTACAAGCACTCATCAACACAAAGATCCACAAAGCTCACATCCCACGTCACACTAGAAGATCTGGGCTGTGAATAGTGCTAGAACACAAGTCCTGTCCTATTCCCTGCCTTCTCCCAATCTACCGGCACAGCTCAGAGCCAACCCACCTTGGACAAATACACGTCTGTAAAAAATCAGCCCTGGCAGATCACTGGCTGCTTTCACAGTCATTTTTGTTGCTCACTTTTACCTTGGCATATTTTACCTATGTTAACCCTGCATTTGTCCATATTCTTAGCTGATCAAATTTCCTGTGCAGAAAACATTAGGGGCAAAGGATCTCTGATACAGTGAGGGCTACCTATCCCAAAAGAAAACAAAGAAATGGAAGTTATTTGAAAGAGAAAGCAGTGATCCTAGGAAGCTAATCTTGGAAGAAGGGATGTTCACAGGCAGAAACAAAGCTGAGGTTATATGCAACTGTCTAGCTCCCCAAACAGCCCCAGAGGTGCAGCATTCTCAAACAACTTCATGCTCATTGCAGCTTTAGTGGTTAGGTTTGTCACACCGGCGGGGGGGGGAATCACTGTATTGTCTGGATGCAGCAGTTCCTTCTTACGGCAGGGACATTATCTTTCCAAAAGGAAATTAATTTCCTGGCTCCAAGGAACTTCTAGCTAAACTGCACGTGAGGCGGGAGAAAGTGTGTGGTCTGGAGGTTCAAGGCTCTTCTGAAGAAAGGAGTAGCCAAACACACAGGAGATATTCATTATTGCAACACCATTTCTATAGAGAGTAGGAACACATAGTAAGATACTGACATCCCATGCAGACTACCTGTAAAATGTTAACAGCAAATACAGAATACAGGAAATAAAAGGAATTAAATGTCCGAGTTTGGACAGTGCTTAGGAAAGACAGCTCTCTCCTATTTCGATTTGTAAATTAAGGTTCAGCTGCCACAGCAGTGGACTTCAAAACACCTACAATTCAGGCAGCACAACAAGATCTGACTGGGAATATCATAAAATTGGCAAAGACAATCCCAGTGGAACAGTGTCCCTTTTGACACAATTTCAGCCACAGCAGAAAGCTCAGCATTTAAAGAAAAAACTCATGGATAAAATATGGTGAAAAACAGCCTGAATGGGTGCAGCATCAGCAGACTGTGTCTGCTACAGTGGGAGATGCTGATCCCAAATAAAGCAGACACATAGACGTTAGGAAAAACTTGTTTGGAAGGAGGGTGGAGGAGTGTTCTGCACTAGAGGTTGCTTGAGTGGTGATAGGTCTCCATCCCTGGAAATCCTTTCATGACTTGATTAGACAAAGCCATATCCTCCTTGATCTAATGCTCACAATAGTCCTGCTCCAAACTGGCGGCTGAACTGGAGTAAACCAAGGGCACAGTGCCACCAAACCATACTGAAACCTTACGATTTACAGCTGAAAAAGCTCACATC